ACAAAGCAAACATGACTGCACTGTTAAACCGCTTTTCTAACTCCTCCAGGACCACTGGTCACAAAGAGGGGACAGACAGAATCTAGAACAGACTGGTCTTCTCATTCTGTCATGGGACTCTAGGGGAGGCTGCTAAGTATATAAAATAGATTTTATAGTTAACAGTGAAACAGTGAGAGACACAGATCCTGGCTCTGCTGCTCACCAACCGAGACCTCAGGCCAGCCCTGGTCCTTTCCCTGTGTTTTTAGCCTGAGGCCCATCCTGAATGGGCCTAGTCTAGATGGACTTTGTCTAGATGAATGGCACAGGGCCTAACTTGCTAACTACCAACAGTGTTGGGGCTGATATAGCCATGGTGTGACTGCTGGGCTGGTGTGGCTGGGGTGTAGCTGGGATGTAGCTGGTGTATGTGGCTAGGATGTGGCTGGGATGTAGCTGGTATATGGTGGTGTGACTGGTGGGCAGGTATGGCCGTGGTATGGCTGGTGTGGCTGTGGTGTGGCTGGTGGGTTGGTGTGGCCATGGTGTGGCTGGTGTATGGCCGTGGTGTGGCTGCTGTGGCTGTGGTGTGACTAGGGTATGGCCGTGGTGTGGCTGGTGTATGGCCATGGTGTGGCTGGTATATGGCCGTGGTGTGGCTGGTGTGACCGTGGTGTGGCTGGTGTGGCCGTGGTGTGACTAGGGTATGGCCGTGGTGTGGCTGGTGTGGCCGTGGTGTGCCTGGTGTGGCCATGGTGTGGCTGGTGTGACCATGGTGTGGCTGGTGTGACCATGGTGTGGCTGTTGTATGGCCGTGGTATGGCTGGTGGCAACACTGGAGGCTGCATGAATTGGATCTGAAAGTGCTGTGCTCTGAGCTCATAGAAAACAAGAGGCCTTGTCTCCAATGTTTTCTTAGTGATAGACAAGAGGACCCGTCCCTGCACCTGCATTGTGTCCTCACTTATTCACATAGCCACTGTCCTGCCAGTGGCTAGCTGGGTGAGACAGACATAAGAACATGTCACCTTAGAAGTGACCTGGAATGAAGAAAGACATCCAACATCAGCCTCTGGCCTCCACACACGTATGTGTCCACACATACCTATGTACACATGCACACACATGAACACATGCACATGTGTACACCATACACACAGTATACATGTCTCTGGTAAAGTTTTGGTGGTGTTATAAAGTATCTGGACACTTCCAAAAAGAAATGCAGCAGAGAAGGACGGCTGGGCAGTCATTATAAGTAGATTTTGTTGTTATTGTTTTAACTTTCTGTGTTTGAATGATTTCCCTGCATGCGTGTAAGTATACCCTTCAGAGGCCAGAAAAGGATGTCAGATTCCCTGAAACTGGAGTTCCGTACAAGTGATTGTGAGCTGCCACATGGGTGCTGGGAACTGAACCTGGGTCTGTTGGAAGAGCAGCGAGTGCTCTTGACCACTGAGCCATCCGTCCAACCCCAGGAGTATGTTCTTAAGAGTGCTCAAGCCACAGGGTGAGGAGCTGGGCAAGGACAGAGGGTGCTGCTGTGAACCCCTGCGCCTGACCATGGTGCTGTGCACCTGACTGCGGCGCTGTCACATTGCTTCAGCTGCCTTCTCAGGTATGGGACATGAGGCAGTGCGTGGTAGAAAGCCCCTGGGGGACTCAGGGTGGGGAACAGTGGAGAGGCCTCCTCCTTGGAAGCGTCCTTTGGCAGGTTCAGGAGTGAGCAGAGGCAGCAGTGCGGCAGGGACAGTGGCTGACTGGAAGCGGGTGGGGGGTTTCAGATGCTAGAGAGTGCCTGAGTCAAGACAGAGAAGGTTGGGTCAGCAGGCCCTGAGACCTGTTGCAGAACAGTAGAAGGTGGATCATTGAGACCCTGGTTACTCTTCCTGCTGGAGGAAGGCTGGGCTTCTAGAAAAGATGCCATGTGACCTGGGATGGTTGAGTTGGAAGGCTATGGGACATGCCCATACTAGTTATCTGTCATGTAGTCGAATGTGTGTGGAGTCTCCGAGCCAAAAGGGACGAGGCAGCAGGAAGAACCTCTGTAGCATGAAGCAGCACAGGACAGCCACGAGGTCACTGTACCAGCCCCCACCGCCACAGGCCTGAGTTCAGAGGAGCAGCTCCATGCTGGAGACCCGGACAGGCCTCAGTTCTGCTCAGGGCACCTAAAGGCAGCTGGCCTCCACGACGTGTGCAGGTGCTGTAAGGAGCAGCTCTGCTCCCAAGGCCCCCAGTGACATAGACGTCATATCCTGCTGGGTTTGCCTTAAGCATGAGCCTGTCCTATGGACTCTGCAAGGGTGTGCAGTTGACAGCCACTCTTCTGGGGCTTGGTTTTGTTTGTTTTTCTAACTTTTTTTTTCTTGGCCAAGTTACATAAATAATAGTGTTAGAGGACTTTGGACACCATTGAGTTCTGACAGGAGGAGGCTCAGCAGCTTAGGGCATGTGAGCTCCAGTCCTGAAGCCTTCTCCTAACACCCACAGGGCCATTTCCCTGAGCTGCAGTTCCTCCCCTTGCAGGAAGGAAGCTGGGCCCTGGGGACTCAGGTAATGCCAGAAAATCAAATTAGCTAGAACCTGGGCTCAGCCAGTTCAACACAGATATCTTAGTTAGAGTTCTACTGCTGTGAGCAGACACCATGACCAAGACAACTCTTATAAGGACAACATTTTATTGGGCTGGCTTACAGGTTCACAGGGCAGGAGCATGGCGGTGTTCAGGCAGACATGGTGCAGGAAGAGCTACGAGTTCTGTATCTTCATCTGAAAGCCACTAGGAGAAGACTGGTTTCCAGGCAGCTAGGACAAGGGTCTTAAAGCCCAAACCCACAGTGACACACCTACTCCAACAAGGCCACACCTACTCATAGTGCCACTCCCTGGGCCAATCATATTCAGACCACCACAACAGAGGAACCTCTTTGTCTTCCAGAGCTGGGAAATAGCCTTAGTCTGCTTTTTAATTTGTATATTTTAAGTAAAGATCAAGAGGTTTGGAGGCTGGAGAGACGGCTCAGCAGTTAAGAGTACTTGCGCTGTTTGCAGAGGACCTGGATTCGGTTCCCAGCACCCATGTTGTGGCTCATGGCCATCTGTAGCTCCAGTTCCAGGGACTCCAATACCTTTTTCTGACCTCTGTGCACTGAGAACACATATGATGCACAGACATACATACAGGCAAAACACACATAAAATGAAAATAAATCTCATAACAATTTAAAAAAATATATCCAGGGGCAAAACAAGTAGCAACCTTTCCCATATTAAGTTCCAGCCAAGGCTACCCAGTGAGACCTTGTATCAGGAGATGGTGGCAGGTAGACCTTTTCCCATGCTGTTCTCCCACCTTGGGGTGTTGGCCCTGAGTACAAGACAGTGCTGTTGAGTCACGGGCACTACAAGGGAACACAGAGCTGCCATCACTGTGTGTATAGAGAACCCAGGAGGAGCTGGGAGTCCAGATTTCATGGGAAGTCAGTCACCCAGCTGGCATGCATCTTGAATTTTTTTTAACGTTCTTACTATGTGTTTTTGTGGATGATGTATGTATGTATGTATGTATGTATGTATGTATGATGTATGTATGCATGCATGTGTGTCTGAACATGTGTGTGTATGAGGGGGTGTGTGTGACTGTATGTATGAGACTGTGTGTGTATGTGTGCATACGTGTGTGAAAGTGTTGTTTAAGTATGTGCAGGTATGTATATATGTATGAGTATGTATAGATATTTAGGTATATGTGTGTGTTCAGGTGTGTGTGGTGCGTTTGTGTGTCTGTGTGTGAGGCTGTGTATTGTGTGTTTTGTGTATGAGTGAATATGTATGTGTGTGATGTGTGCAAGTGCATAGGCCCCACAGAACGCGTGTGGAAGTCAGAGGACGATTATGGAGTTAGGTTTTCCTTCCACCTTCATGGAGACGCTGGAAATTGAACTGCATGCCAGCTGCTTTTTGCTACTGCACCGTCTCACCAGCCTGGCTTGCATTGTTTAATTTCATTTATTTGTTTGTTTGTTTTATTTGTTTATTGCATTTATGGATGTGATTATTTGTTGCATGGGGGTCATGCGTACCATGTGCACTTGGAGGTCAGTTATCTCCTACTATGTGGGACCATTGGGCTCGCTACACCTTTCCTGGCTGAGCCACTATGTCACACACCCCACCCCCACCCCAACATGGAATTTTAAGAATAAACACTGCAGACCAAATGCAGCTTGAAGACAGAGCCTAGGCTGTGTCTGACATCCCTGGGCTAACCTGCTTTTGGTGTTCTTTGGGGTCACAGCACTCCTCATGTTATCACCAGATGAGAAGAATACCAGGTAGGAGCTGCCACTCCAGATTGTGCTCTGGTATGAGCAGAGTGGTCTGGGGCAGCCTGCGCCTTCCAGGGCCTCAGCTTGTTTGTCTCCCTGTGAGGCCAGACCCAGATCTGCAGCTTTGAACTTCCTTTTTTCAGCAGCAAAATCTTTGTTCCAACCAATCTTATGAGGGCGCATCGTGGGGTATGAAACAGAGCAGAGCTGCCCCAGTTACTGAGAACCTGGGGTTCTGGCCTGAGGCTGCCTCTGACCTCCCCCAGGGCACCTCCACTAGACCCTGTAACACACAGTTAGTAATAGCCCTCCTGCCAGCTGCCTTCCCCACCCCCCAGCTCAAAACCTGAGGATGAACAATCACCAGGAGTGCCAGCCACAGTAACTAGCCTCATAGCCAAGCCTAACTAATGCCCTGCTGGTGCTTCCTGTGGCTTCACCACACCCCTCCCACCGAAGTGTCTATCACCGTCCTCATCTTACACATAAAACATGGGACTGAAGTCCCACAGGCCACTGGACTAGAAGGTAAAGGAGCCACCCAGTGCCATGTACTTTCAGCCCCTAGTCTGGGTAATTGTCCTTCCTTGTGTCTCTATGGCATGCTTCAGTTGACAGAATCCCTTTGGTCAAGCTGGATTCCTCTAAACAGTACTCTCTCTTTTTTTTTTTTTTTAAATCACACAGGAGACAGAGCAGTCTGAGCCCAGAAGTACAGAGGTGTCCAAGAAGCCCAAGGCTGCCATCCCTTCCACCAACAAGAGGCCAAAGAAGGAGACGAAGAAGAAGCGGTAGACTCAGAGGCCCAAAGAGCCCAAGGCTTTAGCCTTGGGGACAGCCCTCCTGGGAACCAGCATCCTGTTTGCTCCCACAGACTGTCTCTGTCCTTGGCTCAGGGTCTGAGATGATTGGAACTCCCTCTGACTACAGAGGTCTGAGCAATCCCTAGGCTCCATCTGCAGACCACCACTTCCTCTTCCTTCTCTCTCTGGTACACAAGAGATTCCCCGAGAGCAAATACTGCCCCAGGGTTCCAAAGTCAGGTCAGGCTCAGAGAGCAAAGTATTCACTTTAGTCCTGAGTCCAGTGGTCTTGAGAACTGAGCCTCACCACAGGGTGCAGTTGCCTAAGGCTGCAGGCACACCCTCTTCCATGGCTTGGGCCACATTTGTCACTTTTGTGCACACAGAACCTCACATGTGTTCAGGCGGGGATGCACAGCCATGCAGTGTGAGCCAGCCCACTCACTGCAGCAGCCAGGTCCTGAAGATGTTGGGTTGGGGGGCACAGTAGAAGGCCCGGGTCCAGTGATGCCTGCCGAGGAAGGTGCAGCTGAATGAGGCCAGGATTCCTGGGCACAGACTTTGCAAGCCTTTGAAGCAGGCTTGTCACTTTGACACCAACCTCTTTCTTAACCCATTTAACATTCAAAGTGCCTTTGACTTCAGCCTGTCCTCCCCACATCTTTCATTCCCTGACCAGTTAAGGACAGTTATATGGAGAAGTCAAAGCAAATAAAGCTCCCGCATGCTGAGCCTGCCTGTGTTGCTGCTGAGGAGGGAAAGGGGCAGCCTGGGTCTCTCCTGAGGGTGAGGGAAACACTGTCCCTGAGAAGTGGGACAGCATGGGGAGAAAGGGCAACTCTGGCCAAAGCAGCCCTCCAGGCCAGGCCACTCTGGAGCAGATTTTCAGAAAGGATCCAGTCATTGGCTCCGTGCTGTCCTTAGCCATTGGGGACCTTTGTGAGTTAGTTTGCACAGGGTCCAGAACCCCTCTCTCCACAGGACCCTACTGCCAGAGGACAACACTGCTGTCCACAGAGATCTGAGAAATACAACACAACACAACACAATACCATAGAAAGCTTCAGGGCTCCAGGCAGCTCTGTTTATAGGGCCTGAATCAGCTGCCCAGGACAGGCCCTGAATCAGGTGCCCCTAACACCACAAAGTCACAGACAACAGGCTCCCTTGCCTGCCAAACCCTTTCCCAAGTGTCATGAGGGTTGCTGAGGCACTTAGGTATAGACACCTGTCCATTTCGGGTCCTAGTCCAGGCCACTTAGACACCACAGTGGAAGTGCGAACCTAAGCCCAGTGACCATACAATTTAGTGGTATTTAATGTACTGGGGATGTGGGGTCCCTGCTGTGCAGAGCCATTTGACAAGGCCTTCTAGAATCTCAGGAAGTCCAGGGACATTCTGGTTGGCAAAGTGCCACTTTGCAAACACAAGCACACAACGCTTCCGCTGAAGATTTCTGTTTGACAGTCACCTCTTATCCCAGCCCTTGAAAACAAGGAGCCTTTGTGGAAACCTTGGTGCACCTGGCCCCTGGGGGGTGGGGGGGACCATGACTGACACACAAGCAGATGTGGAGTCTCCAACAAGGGAGTCACAGCAGGTTTAGTGGGAGCCCAGCTCAGGGGTGCCATTCAGACTAAGGTTCAGCCCAGATGCCTGGCAGAGTTCAAGTGACCAGCTGATCAAAGGCTTGTGTTGCCTCAAAGGCTGCTCCAGAGATCCCGCTAGGACTCATGACTCTTGCTCCTCCATACCCTCCTTCTGCACTGTGGCAGAGATGGCAGTGCTCCTCCATACCCTCCTTCTGCACTGTGGCAGAGATGGCAGTGCTCCTCCATACCCTCCTTCTGCACTGTGGCAGCATGAGCTTTCATAAGTCTCTCCTGGGTCTCCTTCCTTCCTTGTTTCCTACTTATCCAAGTGCCCTGGAGATGCTCTGGCCTCTACCTTCTGCCTGACACCTTCCTGAGGCTGTGGTCCAGCTTTCCTGAGTTACCTGGGTTTCTAGAGCAGAGAAGCAGTGGGAGGGCTTTATCATGAGAGGTTATGGTGATTACGGAGGGAGGCCAACTCATCCCATGATCCAGTCTGCAGGCAGGGAAGCTGGAGCTGAGGCCAATAGGGAGTAAATCAGCCAGAGTAGAAGGCCTAGAAACCAGAGCAAGAAGAGGATGGCCCAGGCCCTAGAGCCAGGGTGGGGGTGGGAGCTCTAAGCCTCCTCACCTTGTTCTAGTTGGTACTTCTACTAACTAGACAAGGCCTACCCAATGGGGAGGCCTGCTCACTTTAGTCAGTAGTTCAAATTCTTATCTGTCTGGGAACACTCTTGCTGACTACCCAGAAATAGTCTAACCCAGCATCTGAGGACCCCATAGCCCTGGGGAGTTGACAGAGTGCCACCCAATGCCAGCCCTTCCCAAACATCTCTCTCCAGACCTGACCTACCAGTGTCTCCTTGAAAGTGCCAAAGGCACTACAGAGAGGATTCCTGGTCTCTTCACCAGCATCCCTAGCTAGCTGGTCAGAAAGCTCATGGTCTTCCATCTTTAAGAAGAACATGTCTCCATAAAAGAAAAAAAAAAAAAAAGCTGGAGTCAGAGGACCCAGGTTCAGTTCTTAGCATGCACCTGGCAGGTCACAACTGTCTGTAACTCCAGTTCCAGGGGCATCTAGCGGCCTCTTCGAGCCTCTGTGGGAAATAGGCAAATACATGGTACACATACATACATGCAGATACAATACTTGTTTACAAAAATTTCAATTTTTTTTTTAAATTCAAGTATCCAACTCAATTTTATCTATATATATAGAAATACATACATTATACATAGCCACTGTAATCAGGCTACTTCTATAAAACCATCATACTCTAGAGTTCGTGCACGTATGTATTAGTGTGTATAGTGTGTGTGGTAAGTGTATGTGAGTGGGTGAGTGTGTATGGGATGAGTGTGTGTGAGTGAGCAAGTGAGTGTACAAGTATTCTGAACACAGAATCTGCCTGCTCAGCACATTTTAAGCGCACACAATACGATGACCTGGGATCACGATGCTATATGTTAGACCTCTGGAATTTAGTCATCTTGCATAACCAAAACTTTGTACCTTTGGCCAGGATCTTCCCATGGCACGATCCTCTCAGTCCCCAGTGTGCTCCACTCCGCTGTCTGTTTGACAAGGAAGACCATGGTATCCTGTGTCTGCTTAGTCACCACATCATACCCTCTCTGTTGTTACAAATGGCAGAATCCTTCCTTCTTCCCTCCCTTCCTTCCCTCCCTCTCTCCCCTCCCTCTCTCCTTCTTCCCCTAGCTTCCTGAGTACTGGGATTATGAGCTATTACCACAATGCCTAGCTTTTTTGTTGTTAAAATGTGTTATGTTCTATTGTTCACAAAGCCGATTTTTCTTTTGTTTTGTTTTTCAAGTAGGGTCTCACTATGTAGCCCTGACTGCCCTGGAACTATGTAGTCCAGGCTGGCCTCAAATCTACAGAGATCCGTCTGTCTGCCTTTAATTTCTGAGTGCTGGGATTAAAGATGTATGTGTCCATGCTTAGTCTATTTTTAGCTTTCAGAGCCTTTTTAAAGTTTTAACTGCTGGCAGGTACCAGGGTTCTATCCGTGTCCTTGCTGTCACTTAGCTTTTTCTTGAGAGAGCATCCTAGCATGTGCAAAGCAGCACCCTGGTCTTGTTTACCCTTCGCTGACAATGGGAGCTGAGGAACTTGTAACATGCCAGATGGCCACATGGAGGCCAACTTTGGAAAAGTGTCTGTTGAAGTTGTTTGGCCATTATTAAGTCAGACAACTTAGCTTGTTTTGCTACTGGATTGTGTGCATGCTATTTTAGATGTTGGCCCTTTATTAACTATGACTCGCAGCTTCTCCTTTCTGTAGAGCGACTTCTGTCTCGTCTCCCTGCTCGTGAACCTTCAGTGGGACGTTGTGCACATGTTTGGTTGGTCCTTGCCATGTGTGCTTTACTGCCATATCCAAAAAGGATGGGGGGAGGGGGAGAAGCTAGGCATGGTGGTGCACACTTTTAACTCAGGAGCTGGAGGCACGAAGATCTCTATGAATTTGAAAACAGCCTAGTCTACACCGTGAGCTCCAGGCCAGCCAAGACTACATGGTGCGACCCTGATGCAAACAAACACCTGTTGCCAAGGCTAATGTGGAGAGGCTTTTTCTCCTCCTCCTCCTCCTCCTCCTCCTCCTCCTCCTCCTCCTCCTCCTTCTCCTCCTCCTCCTTTTCCTTTTCCTTCTTCTTCTCCAAGTTTTCCTTTGTCAGGTTTTATGTTTTAGCTGTAATCTGTCTTAATGGGCTAAGATGGAGTTCAGTTCCCAACACCCAAGTCAGACAGTCATCAACTCCAGCCGCAGGGGATCTGGCCACCCACTTCTGGCCTCTGATGGCACCTGCACTCATGTGCACATGCCCACACAGAGACACTCACGCATGCAAATAACTAAACTCTATTTCACGATGAAGTTTGTATATCCTGTAAGGAGAGGGAGGGTCCTGTTTCACTTCTTGGGGTGTTCCTGTCTCCACACCATGGATTAAAGGGAGACTCATTTCTCCAGTGTGTATTTTCGGTGGCCTCATTGAAGATTCATTGACAGCATGTGCTTGAATTTTCTTCTGGCTCTCATTCCGCTCTCCTGCTCCATTTTATATCATTCTGTCTTTATTATTACAACCTTGTAGTACAGCTTAAATTGGGTGCACATCTGGCTTTGTTTGTACATCTGGCTTTGTTCTTTCTGAAGATACTTCAGACTATCCAAAGTCCTTGGTAACATGAATTTTAGGGTGACTTTTTTTTCTATTTCTGTGAAAATATGGATTTTGGAAGGGATTATGCTGAATCTCTAGGTCACATAGGCAAGTGTGGACATTGTAACAGTTTTATTAATTCTTCCAGTCCATGAACATGGGAAATCTCTTTTCACAGCTTGAAGGATCCTGGGGCTTGCATGTGGCTTGTCTCCTAAGGGCTTCCATAGTAGAAGCCTGGTCCCCAGTGTGGTAATGTGGAATGTGATGGAAACTCTCTTTAACACACAGACCAAGTGGGAGTTTTCTCTGGCCTTGGGGGAGGGGGGTCATCGTCATAAGGAAATGTTCTCATGAACTGTCATGAGTGGTTAGAAAAGCCTGAGCCAGCTTCCTGACCCCTCTCTGGCTTTACATCTGTCGAGAAGATCCTAAGCACGATCCCGCCTTGATGTTCCCAGCTACACCACTAAGCAGAAGCCAAACTGAGAGATTCTGTCTCTCACTAATCCAGTCTTGTCTTACTTGGATAAAGGCCAATTCTCTCTCCAGAACCCACAAGGGCTGCAAGAGCTATTCCTCCCAATCGTGGATTTTCAGGCTCCAAACTGTGATCTAAATAAACTTCTTTTTAAAGTAGCCTGCCTTGGGTATTTTGTTATAGTACTAGAGAACATTTCAATATAAAAAGTATCTTTTGGGGAGGAAGGGTTGCTAGGATTTGAACTCAGAGCTTTGTGCATGGTAAGCTCATTGTCTACCAGCAAAAAGGCTATATCCCAATGAGCCAAACATCTTTAAAGATCTAGGAGTTACCCTTGACCCCCTCTCTTGGTTGATCCTTAAGTATCTCCCTGCAGCTCAAAATCTAGAATGATCTCCCATCTCACCACTTCCTGCCATTATCTCAGCCTGAATATCGAGCAAACTCCTCATGGGGAGTCTGTTCTCAGCGTAGCAGCTGGCCACAGCCTATTAAACATCGTGAGACTGGGCCAGCAAAAAAGCTCAGCAGGTAAAGGTGCTTGGCTCCAAGGCTAACCTGAGTGTGATTCCTGGGAAACACATGCTGGAAAGGGAGAACCAACTCCAGCAAGTTGTCCTCTGACTTCTACTGTGTGTGCCTGTCTCCTCTCCATTCAAAGTAAGTAGATAGATGATGGATGGATGGATGGGTGGGTGGGTGGATGGATGGATGGATGGATGGCTAGATAGACAATAGGTAAATGATAGATGATAGGTAGTTGATAGGTAGATGATTGATAGATGGATGATAGATGGTAGGCAGATAGATAAATATAGATAGATGATAGATAGACAGATAGATGATAGATAGATAGATAGACAGACAGACAGATGTGAGAATTTTTTTAACTTGTGAGATCGTGTCTCTCACCTCCCATCTCACTCAGGTAATAGCCAAAATTCTCACTGGAACCCCCAGAGGCTGAGAGGAGCACGTTACCTCCTTTGACCTCTCCCCAACTCTATCCCATTTTTACTGGTTTCCATCTTCCAAGATGCCAGGTAACCCCATCTCAGGCCTCTTCTGCCTCATGTTCCCACTTCCTTTAGCTATGATGCCCCCAAGACATCTGTGTTCTAATCCCCAAAGCCTGGGCCAGGGTGTGGGGTTATAAGTATAATCAGGTTAAGGATTTGAGCAGGGGATACTAGGATATCCAAACGGCCCAGGCTAGTCACAAGAGTCCTCACAAGAAAAAGAAAGAGAAAGGAAAACTTAAGTCAGAGAGGATGTGACCCAGAAGCAGAAGTCGGAACAGTGAGCAAGGAACGCGGGCTGACTGAGAGAGTCACAAGATGAGGCGTGGAATTCCCAGCATCCCACACAGGAAGTTTCTTCCTGATAAAGCCAACATCTTGATTTTCATCCACAGAGACTCATTTTGGACCCTTGGTCTCAAAGATTACAGGTGTGGTAATTCAGGCCTGATCCTTAATACCAGCACCTGGTATGCTCAAGCACGAGAATCAGAAACTAACGGTCATCCTTGACTCAAAGCAACAACAAACCACCTGGGCCAGGGAGACCAGAGTTCAGATCCCTAGAATCAGGTAAGAGGCAAAAAAAAGGGGGGTGGGGTGGTGGCAGTGTGTCTGTAGCCCTAGCATCCAGGGAAGGTGAGAGAGTGGAAGACAAGATCATGGGGCTCACAGGTTCCCTAATATAGCAGGAACAGTGAGATCCAGGCTCAGCAAAAGACCCTGTCTCAAAAACTAAAGTGGAGACAAAGAAGACAACCAACACTAATCCATGACTTTCTGTCTCGAGCAAGAAGGTCGGTGTGAGTAGTTGATATGACAAACAAGTTATGTTTTGTTATGCTGCAGGTCATCACACAACATTCACAGTCTGATTCCTAACTCAGTCCTAAGCCTGTCTTCCCAAGGCTGCTCACCTGTGCGGTGCAGCTGATGATCAGGTCCAGACTCTAACAGAAGTCTCTGGTTGGAGGGTCAGGATCCTGGGGGAGACTCTCCAGCCACAGGGCAGATCAAGGTGACGTCTCTCCAGATGTGCTGAGCAGAGCCTTGCTCTTAGTCTCTGCTTAGATACGTACTGTCCAGTGGGCGTCATGGAGTGCTAGGACTCTGTTTACCTTGAGCGAGTGACGTCACTGGGCTCTGGTTAGCAGGTACAGCCTTGGGTGTAGTAGGGATCCTGACTATGCTATGTTTACAGGTCTAAAAAGCATTTCTTTTCCTGCGCTCATTTCATGCAGATTTATTTTTATTATTTAGAGTTATGTTTTTATGTCTCTGTGTGGGTGTGTTCTCATGAGTGCGTGTGCCAATAGAGGCCAGAGGTATCCAGATCCCCCTGGAGCTGGAGTTACAGCTATGAGCCACCTGATGTGGGTGCTGGGAATTGAACTTGGGTCCTCTGGAAGAGCAGTATGTGCTTTTAACAACTAGACCATTTCTCCAGCCCTAATCTGTGATACTCACACACACATGTACAGGCAGGCACACCTTCAGCCCCACTAAGTGCTAGTTTTTTCAGTAAAGTGCTTGCCATGTAAGGACCTGAGTTTGATCCCTAACGCCCAAATAAGAAAAGTGGATGAGGTGGTTTTCAGCATCCATGTACACACACACATACACACACACACACATACACACACACACACACACACACACACGCACACACACACACACACACACACAGATGCATATGGGCCTGGAGAGTTCCAGGCCGCTCCACGGACATCTGCATTCTGCTCCTAGACATCACCCCGGGGAAGTGAAACTGGCTGGTCACAGAGTCCTGTGCTAAACTCTAGCAGGAATGTTCATGGTGGCTTTATTGGTAAAAGTCAAAAACTGGAAATAGCCGGGGGTGGTGGTGTATGCCTTTAATCCCAGAAATTATAAGGTAGAGACAGATGGATCTCTGAGAATTTGAGACTAGCTTCGTCTACATAGTGAGTTTCAGGCCAGCCAGGCTACATGGTGAGATGCTTTCTCAAAAATCAAATCCAAGCAGAACAACTAGAAACATGCCAGATACTACCAAAAACAGAATTGGCAAGGGCATGGTGGCACACATCTCTGTCATCTCAGTACTCAGGAAACTGAGGCAGGGGAATTGTTAGTTTTAGGCTGGTAAGAACCTATCTCCCTGTCCACCTCCCCTTTCCAAAAAGAAAAGAAAAAAATTTCCAAATAGTCAAAATGTGGTATATTTAAAAGCAATAATAGCTGGGCAGTGGTGGTGCACGCCTTTAATCCCAGCACTTGGGAGGCAGAGGCAGGCGGATCTCTGAGTGCGAGGCCAGCCTGGTCTACAGAGTAAGTTCAAGGACACCCAGGGAAACAGAGGTATACAGAGAAACCCTGTCTCCAAAAACCAAAAAAAAAAAAAAAAAAAAAAGCAATAATAAAGGATCTAGATAAATCTGAAAAGACTTTTGGTGAACGCAATAAGCCAAGCACACACATACAACACATACTCCCTGTTTCTAGTCAAATGGCATGATAATGTAGACACCAGTACCCAGGATGCCTCCAGGAGGAAGGCTGAGTACAAAGGCTTTCTTCAGGGATCAAAGCATCCTAGGGTTGGAAAGATGGCTCAGTAGTAAATATCTTTGCTTCGTGAGCCTGACAGCCTGAGTTCAGTCCCTGGAGCGCACAGTGGGAGAAGAGAGAGAACTCTACTCTGCTGTCCTCTGACGGTCACGTGTGTGCTGTGGTAAGCACACACCTGCGTTCCCACACATGCACCCTGCTCAGGCACAACAGCAAGGATCAATATACTTTAAGGTTCTCTCCAGGTGACTGAATGCTGACCTTTCCCTCCATGTCAGCTGTCCTAAACAGACCTTCATCCCAGGGCTAGACACTATGGCAAACGCTTCGCTATTTGCCTCCTCAGCAAATCTCTGAGGAAACCGAGGCTCAGACACAGCAAGCAACTTGCCTTGAGGAACTTGCTAGAACAATTAGAACAATGAGCTCAGTGCTCAGGTGACGATGACTGCGCGCCTCGGGGCCACCTGGTCCCCTGAGCTCAGGTGACGGTGATGGCTCGCCTCGGGGCCACCTGGTCTCCTCCATCAACCCTTTCTCTGCCCTAAGGGCTTACTGTGTTGGCAGCTGACTGGAGACAAGTTCAACACAGCCACTGAACTCATAGGTGTCAGAAGTGTATTGGGACCCAGAAAGCCTGGAGAAACAAAGGCTAAGGTCATTGTCACACCTGCCTAGTGTGGGGGAGGGAACTGCTGAGAGTGTAGTTTTGTGTGTGTGTGTATACATCTGCTCACATGATTATTGCACACACACACACACACACACAGAGTTTTGACCAGGCTGGACTTGAACTCAGGGAGGATCTTTCTGCCTTTGTCTCCCCAGTACTGGGATTAAAGGCTACACCACCATAGCCCAACTGTTTGTCTATTTTTGATGAAACTCAGGACCTCCAGCATGCTAGGCAAGCACTCTGTATCTGAGTTGTAGTCCCAATCCTAAAGTTTCATTTTTATTATTTATTTATTTTATATACATTGGTGTTTTGTCTGCATGTGCACCACATAGACGCAGTACCCTCAAAGGCCAGAAGAGGATGTTAGACCTCCTGGTACATGGTTGTGTGCCATGGTCCTCAGGAAGAGCAGCCAGTGCTCTTGACCATAGAGCCATCTCTCCAGCCCTTTTGCTAGCTTTTTAAGATAGGGTCTAGTTCTACAGCCTAGAATGGCCTTGGGCTCATGGCATGCCTTGTCTCCTGAGTGCTAGGATATTACTGTCCCAAATATACTTTTTAGTTTTTGTTGTTTGTTTTTTATAGCCCAGGCTGACCTCAAGAATTCAACATTTAGCTGAAGATGACCCTGGACTTTCTGGTCTTCCTGCCTCTACCACCCTGGTACCCTGCTCAGCCCAGCCATCCTCTCTCTTTTAAAGCAGTAGGCATTCGAGGCTGGTAAACTAGAGCACTGTGTCCTGTAATTCAAAACGAGAGCCCTCTTCCCGTCTGTCTTGGTTTGTTTAAGACAGTCTTACTATTAGCCCTGGCTAGCCTGGGACTCACTTTGTAGACCACGCTGACCTTGAATTTAGAGACCTACCTGCTGAGATTAACAGTATGTGCCACCACCCCTGGTTCTTCATCTGTCTTTGTAATGCTAGGCTGGTTGTCAGTGCCCATCTACCTCCTGGCTATCCCATGTTATCACCTTTTTGACCTCACTCCAGACTTATCACCTTAACCTCCATTGTTTGTGGAACAAACAATGTTGGACTCAGCAGTGAACAAGCATTTCTGTTTCTTGTTAGAGGAAGACATGTGATCAGAGAATTCTGACTGGATTAGCACCCAGAACAACTAAAGTAGTTATTCTTGTTTCATTTTATTTGTTGTTTATTTAGACAAAGCCTCACTTTGTAGCCCAGGTTATCCTGACATCTCTCTCTTCCTGCCTCAGTTCTTGAACACTGGGATTCCAGATATGCATCACCATGAAGGGTTTTGAAACTGTTTTATTTGTTTTGAGTTTTCGAGAAAGGGTTTCTTGTGTAGCTCTGGCTGACCTAGAACTTACTCTGTAGGCCAGGCTAGCCTCAAATTCACAGAGATCAGCCTGCCTCTGCCTCCTGAGTGCTGGCATTAAAGACATGCACCAGCTTTCTAAATTGTTTTTAACTGCACACAGTGGGTCAGCTATCACGGTGGCTGTGGTCATGCTCTGCCTCCTTTTGAAGAGCAGTGTCACCGATCCGTCGTGTAGGGCACTATCCTGTGCTCTGAGAGGCCGGGAATGAACAGCCCTCTCAGAAACCGTCTCTTGGGAAGGAAACCAGTCCATGTTCAGCTTCCCTAGCTCCTGTCCATCAAGGAGAGGCTCCATCTGGGAATCTCTTTCTGTCCTCAGAAGTTCCAGGATGGGTTTCATGATCTGTGTTTTCCCAGGAACTGGCAAAGGATGCTGTGGGTGAGTCATCTTTTGCTTGGCGTGTTTCACTCTGAGAGCTTAGGGTGCTACAAGATGACCAAGAGCCTCTTTAGGGCCTCTCTTCCCCAACAGGCTGGAGCCTGTGAGTTCCTGGACCGGAGTAGCGGCTGAAATTCAAGAGACTATTTGGGCTAGCACAGCTCTGAATGAGGACCCAGATGTCACATGATGGGGAAGGGGCTGTGGAACAGGGCAAGGCCACCTAACCATGGACCATGCCTTACAGACTTCGGCTAGAGGGAGGCCTAAGGTCCTTGTGTTTTTCTGTCACTGAAGGACTCAAGAGTTTTCACTTCAGTTCGTGTTCTGCTTCCCGAGTCAGAGGCTGACTGAGGCCATCAGCAAAGGGATGAGGCGGTTAGGTACCAGGGCAGTGGAAACACACACCAAAGCCCTTCTGCTCCCAGACCTCCCTCTGGAACTAGGGATATGGCTTTCAGTTCTTTCTTGTTTGCTTGTTTTAATTATTTTTTTTTTTTGAGACAGGGTTTCTCTGGGTAGCCCTGGCTGTCCTGGAACTCACTCTGTAGACCAGGCTGGCCTCGAACTCAGAGATCCACCTGCCTCTGCTCCCAAGTGCTGGGATTAAAGGTG